TATAAAAGCATAATAGGTGCTTAAATTTTTTTTCCTTAAATTCTTTTATTGGTACATTTTAGGTATACAATATGTTTACATTTATCATTGGGTGCTTGTACCTGTACATGATGTATCTTGGTTTTTATTTTTTTCCCCATTACCTGTGCGCCCTTCAACCCCTCCACCCTTCCCTATTTATGTAGACTTCGTTTCCATTAGTGCTTAGTTTTGATCCACTGAGTAAATTATTAGTAATTTGTAAATAAATACATATAAAATAACCTAGTTATGATGTGATTACTCCAGTTTGAAGGACTGGTACAGATAGATGTAATCACCATTCAGCTAGAGTATAAATCACCAGCAAAGTAAAAAATATACCCTTTACCTCTATTCCTTATCTTTCTTTTTCTCCATCCTTCTTCCTAAGCTGTCTCTCCCCTTTTCATTGCCTTTGCTTTTCTGATTTGCCCAATTATAGAAGTAACTCTTTGATATTTTCAACTCTTGAACTAAAGGGTTTATGATTTTTTTTTAAAAAAGCAAAGAATCATGATGATATCAACAAAATGCTTTAGTGTAAGTGATAATACTACCAACAAAAAATGATATTTTCTACAGGTTACTAAAATTTACCTAAAAACCCTTAATGTGTATTAGAACTATTAATTACATCTTTATGTATCTTTTGTTTGCTATGTAAATATTTGCTATGTACATGTTTACTATGATTAAAGAATTTTAATGTGACAAATTTGTTGTACATTTTTCATTTTTCACTACATGCAGACTATCATGTATTAATGTAGTTATCAAATCCTTTTAGAACAAACTTAATACAGGCAGCCTAGATATGGAGAAGGGACTATGGGGAAAAAAAATAAAAGCTTTGCTTATCAGGCTTATCATTTAGATTTCCAAAAGAGAAAGCATCAGAAATGTATGCCTGATCTGGGTAGGTCTTTCAAGGACAGAAGACAGCTTATGTCTAACTCATTCTGGGCTGTGTATGTGTGGTAATGGTTCAGCATGGACAGGAAATCTTTATTGCCTTATCAAGGGAAATATAGCCTAGTTTGCACAGTTTGTGTAAAGGAGAAAAAGACAGGGTTCCCTGTACCTCTTTTATTTCTATTTTGTGGAATAATTAGATTTTAGTTGCACACATTGAAAATATAGAAGAATTTAGATACGAGTTAATTTCATTTATTCTGAAACTTTGTCTCAGAATTACAAACTTAGAAGTAGTTTACATGCAGTAAGTTGTATATAAAACATTTTTGTATACAAAATCAAAATTAGCACATACTGATGACTATAGTTAGGCAGTAATTATTATCTTGAAGTAAATAGTAAAATTTTAGTTGCTAAAGGACAGGAAAGTGATAGTAAAACATGGAGAAGACATTTCCTGTTTTAGTAAGCTCTGGCATTCTAATAATGTTTAATGAAATACAAATAAGTAAGCCAAGATCCCTGACCATAAGGAATTCAGTCTCACGGGAGAAGAAAATACATAAATCAATAAATCCATGATATTGTCATAGGTAATACAGGATGCTGTCGGGGACATCGGAATATTTAAGGATGAGATGTTTGGCAAGTCAAATAGATAAAAAGAATGTTCTAGGCCAGTGGTGGTGAACCTATGCCACGCATACTGCAGCAGGTTGTTTGTTATCATTCTAAGCTCTAAAAGGTTTGCCATCACTGCTCCAAGCAGAGGAAATGATGTAATGCAGTTTGAGAGAAATGACACCACATAGCAAGTTTGAGAAGGTACAAGTAGTTAGATACATGAGAAGTATAAGGTTTGATATGAGTTGGAGACTAAACATAAAAGTAGGCTAATAAATTGGAGCATGATACTCTAATAATTTTTAAAGGTACTACATGCCAGATTCTTTACCTCTCCAATCTCCCCTTTTAATTTTCAAATCTAGGCACTCTAATCACTATCCACACTGAATTTCTTCTAGTTCTTCAAAATTCAGCAAATATGTATTGAATATTTATTGTGTGCTGGGCACAATCTTAGGCAAAGGGTAGATATATCAGTGAATAAAATAGGTATGTTCTCTGCCTTCACATAGCTTACAGTCTGCACCTAACACTGGTGAGTATGTAGGCAACAAGTATACAGCTTGTTAAATGTTAATACAGTAAATGTTGCTGGTGTAGGAACATCAACTAAGTCCAAGTGTGTCCGGAGTGATTGAATAATGAGTAAGATTTGGTGAGAATTGGGATTAAGAGCATGGGAGTCAGAAGGAATAGAAGTGAAGAACTTTAGGCAGAGGAAGCCAAGTGAAAGTGTGAAAGCCCAGAGATGAGAAGAAATAGAACTTTCTCAACAGATTTCCCTACTCCATCCTTAGCCCATTGCAGTCCATTCTTCCCACAGCAGATTGATCTTTTAAAAAACATAAATATGTCAGAATTTTAAAAGCATAAATATGTCTTCTCAGAATCCTTCAGTGACTTCCTGTCTCTCACAATAAAATCGAAAGTTCTAACCATGGCCCAAGTTGCCCTATTTGACTTTTCCTACAGCATGTCTTATCTCATCCCACTCTTATCTTGGCTTACACTACTCCAGTCACTGTAGCCTCTTTGCTATTCCTCTAGGATTCTAGACATGATTTCATATTGAGTATTGATAGTCATATGCGATGATTCATGGTCTTTGCACAAACTATTCTTTGTAGAAGCTTTTTTCAACATATCTAGTTGGTTGGTGACCTTCTGCTTGTTCAGGACCCTCCTTCAATCAAAAAGCCCTGTATTGACAACATTTTATAAAGCAGTAGCCTTGTCAGTCCCATCTTCATTATGTTACCAGTTTACTGTGCATTATTTTTCTGAGTAACACTATCATAATTGAAGATGGTAGTATAGTATGAATTATCTCACTGATCCTAAGCACCATGAGAATACTTTATGTGATTGTTTTTACTGCTACTTTCCTAATGCTTAAAACACTGCTTTATATATAGTTGTAAGCACTCATGTTATTATTCAGTTCTACATAGGTTATGGATAGGATATTTTTATTTTGTCTTTTCATCTTTATATCTACCAGGGTACTTAAGTGTTACATGAATTGATATGGTTTAAAGCCCAATTTTTAACCCAGTTAAATTTTTAAATATATTTTTAAACATACATTTTCTTGTAATAATAAAAATTTTCTTGGGCTGGGGATTTAGCTCAGTGGTTCCGGCGCCTGCCTCGCAAGTGCAAGGTTCCAAGTTCGATCCCCAGTACCAAAAAAAATAATAATAATAATAACAATTTTCAATTTTTTTAGCTAATAGTAAAAACATTCTTAGAATTGTGTAGTGCTGGGTTATAAATTTATAGTTAAGGGCCAGGGATGTAGCTCAGTGGCACAGCACCTGCCTGGCTAGCGCAAGGTCCTGAGTTTGATCCCCAGTACCAAAAAATAATTAAATTCATAGTTAATTGTTTTTCATACTGAAGTGTGTCAGATTAATAATATCTGAATCACTGATTTATGTAAACCCAGTATTATAATAGTATTAAAAATAACTTCACTTTAAATACAAAAACTTAAGCAGTTGTTTTATATCAGGTTATTTTTTCTTAAAGTTATAACATAAATGATATCTTCAACAAGTCAAAGATACAGCTAGACTATATTAAATAGGCAAAGATTAAACTGTTGTGCATTTCAATAATTTAAAATAGGGCCGGGGATTTAGCTCAGTGGTTCCATCACTTGCCTTGCAAGCACAAGGACCCAAGTTCGATCATTGGTACCAAAAATAATAATAATAATAATTTAAAATAGTACAATTTTACACAGAATGCTAGAAAATATATTGGTTATAGAGTCAACACTTTGCTGAAAGTGTATGTGCCACATATTGATAGTCCTAGTCAATACTAATTATAGAGAACTTGAAAGGGGACGTTGCCAGAGCCTCTGCCTTGGGTCCTAGCCTCCTGTGAGCCACTACAGCACAAGGTGAATTAAAGAAGACAAGAAACTAGACTTAGAATGAGTAAGCTGGGTCCTGGGACCTGGTCAGTGCTGCTCTGGGCAACAAAGACAAAGGCTCCCAAGCACATCAGTATTTATTGAATACAACTGTGAGAAGGACTAGGGAGCCGGGTATGCTTTGAAGGCATCTAGTGAGATACTGAGGAACACCTGGCATGATAGCACCAGGCAGGGCTGTAAGGGAGTAAGCATTGCTTATCTTGCTTGGATAGAACAAACAGGTGCTGGGACCAGGTGCAATTAGCAAGTAACCCACAAGGTCAATGAGAAGCCACAGTTCAGGGGAAAGGATTTTAATTGGGGTCACGTTGACCTGAACTGCACATAACTCAGCAGAGCCCTGCCACTTCACAGACCAGGGCCTAGGTTTCTGTGACAGCCACTGAGGGAGAGACCACTTGCTCAGTCCATCTGACATGCCCATTTGAGTCATGTAGAGCTTCGATCTGACTCCTGATATAAAACAATTGCCAAATTATGGAGAGCAAGAAGCAGGTGCCACTCACAGCCACTCATAGCCCGCTAGTACTGGACAGGGATGTCTGCTACAATAATCATTCAATTATTTTACTCATCACATTTCTGTTGTTTTGTACAACTTGTATCTCTTCCACATTCCCAAGCATAATCTGTACAGCCTTGAGTGGAAAACAATCTTGGAGAAACAGTTTATGGCTCTATACTATAGAATGGTAGAAGAGGTGACCTAGAGTTGATTCTAAACAGATTTTAAATTTGATAGTCTATTAAGTTTCTGCAAATCATCTAGCATTGCCAGCTCCCCTTCTGAGCTTTTTTTTCCTATGTAGTGCCTTCCCAGTCATGTCCTGTTATTAAAACGATTTAAGATGAATAGATAATGGCCACATATCAAATACAAGTGTCAATTCTTAGATCATAAATTAATAGATCAGCAAGACATGAAATGATAAAATATAAGGGTTGCCTATCTGTTACAAATATAAAGTTTTTTCTCTTGCAAAAATTATAGGGGATGGAGTGTTAGATCTCTCTACAAAGAAAACCAGCATAAAATCTGAAGAGTCATCCATATGTGATCCTTCTTCTGAAAATTCAGTGGCTGGGTAAGCAATATCTAGGAAATATAAGTTAATATTAATATAAAATTATCTCTACAGAGAACTCTTCTATTCTGCGTAGTACTGACATATGTAGTTTTCCTTCTGAATTTTTTCACTCATAGTGTGTCTCTCATACCTTTCATTTGTCCTTCCTCTTCCTTTTTTATTCTTTCTGTTAAAGAAAAGTTATCAGAACAATCACCAAACTTTAGTTCTTGTTACTAAAATGAACTACCAACTTAATCATAGAATACAAACTAAGCAGGACGAGTAAGAGAATTTAAAATATTCAGGTGGAAATTTTAAGGGAAATATATAATCTAAATATTTAATTTTGTAAACCAATGAACAAATTCTAAAAGTACTGTACTTACTAATTCTTAAAGCTAGTTTATAGTATTTACATTTTTTCATTGTGCTTTAGATGTGGTGGCAAGCAATTTAATATATCTAGTAATCACCACAAAAAGTCTTTTTGTGTTTTGAAAAGCAGTCATTAAATTAATTTAAAATAATTACTAGTGAAATGCTGTTCTGTTGGATTTTTGGATTTTTTTGTAACTTTTGCATCTTCCCATTAACTACATACAAAGCTTTTTTGTCACATTTAAATCTGACTTGTAGAACATAATTTGATCAAGAAAGGCTGCAGTAAGATTTGAGTCATAAGGTATAGTAAACTTTCTGAGAACTGAAAATTACAACACTTCCAAAATAAAAATAACTTTTATAGTATCTAAAGTGAAATTATTGTGTTCAAATACGGCCTGTTTTTAATTTTTTTCTAGAGGAAAATTAGTCTTGTGGAAATACGGGATGTTTGTGTTTGGAAATATTCTTGCTGCTACAAATTTCCTTTAAATGGGTTGACTCTTTTATTACTTGTTTAGCGGTAACGTCACGTTTCTACTAACAAAAACTCCTTTAGGATTTGGGTATATTTTTTTATAATGGAACTCTAATTGTACAAATAAAAATTATAAGTGTTGCTCTGCAAGCATCTTTCAGAGGAATAGCAACATCATGAGAGTATTTTTACAAATACTGAGTTAGGATTTTATGTTCTTGGAAGGTTTGCCTGTTGAGGCCACCGTACCATTGACACATTGTCCTACCAGGACTGTAGCATTTGCTTTGATAAGGAGTAACTACTACATCTCACAGACTTAAAAGTGTCATAAGCAGTGATGTTACCTAAGCAAGGAGTATAATAAAGGAGTGGACCCTTCCCTTCCATAGCTGTGTGAGAGTCTCTCATGCATCAGTTTACCATCGTTTCATTCCATCCATCCAGGAGACTACACAGAAACAGAGAGGACTATGTGGAAAGAAGTGCTGAGTTTGCAGATGGTTTGCTCTCAAAAGCTTTGAAAGACATTCAGTCTGGAGCACTGGACATAAATAAAGCAGGCATACTTTATGGCATACCTCAAAAAACTTTACTTCTCCACTTAGAAGCCTTACCAGCAGGGAAGCCTGCATCTTTTAAAAACAAAACTCGAGATTTCAATGATAGTTACTCATATAAAGACAGTAAAGAAACTTGTGCAGTACTACAAAAAGTAGCCTTGTGGGCAAGAGCTCAAGCAGAGCGCACAGAAAAGAGTAAACTCAATCTACTTGAAACCTCAGAATTAAAATTCCCAACAGCTTCCAGTTACCTCCATCAGTTAACTCTACAGAAAATGGTTACTCAATTTAAAGAAAAAAATGAAAGCCTTCAATATGAAACTTCAAATCCTACTGTACAGTTAAAAATTCCTCAACTACGTGTAAGTTCTGTTTCAAAATCACATCCTGATGGTTCTGGTCTGCTGGATGCTATGTATCAAGTTTCTAAAACCTCTTCAGTCCTAGAAGGATCAGCTCTCCAAAAACTGAAAAATATACTCCCTAAACAGAACAAAATAGAATGTTCTGGGCCTGTAACTCACTCAAGTGTTGACTCTTACTTTCTACATGGGGACCTCTCTCCTTTGTGTCTTAATTCTAAAAATGGAACAGTTGATGGAGTCTCTGAAAATACTGAAGATGGATTGGATCGAAAAGATAATAAGCAGCCCAGGAAAAAACGTGGCCGCTATCGGCAGTATGATCATGAAATAATGGAAGAGGCTATTGCAATGGTAATGAGTGGAAAAATGAGTGTTTCCAAAGCACAAGGAATTTATGGGGTACCTCACAGCACTTTAGAATACAAGGTAAAAGAAAGATCTGGAACACTGAAGACTCCTCCGAAGAAGAAACTACGATTACCAGACACTGGGTTATATAATATGACAGATTCAGGGACTGGCAGCTGCAAGAACAGTAGCAAGCTTGTGTAGATTACTTGTTAGGAAAATGTTTGCGTGTGTGTGTGTGTGTGTGTGTGTGTGCTTGCGTGTATGTGCACAGGTGTGTATTTGTGTGTCTACATATACATGTGGGAATTACAAATGCTCACTCTGACAGGAGACATGAAATTTTACAGTTCAGAAACCACTTACATGCCTTTTGAAAAAAGTTTTATTCAGGGTTTTCACTGTGGACAGAATTATATAGTTGCTTTCTTAATTCTGGTAGTTTGTATTTAATCCTTGTATAAATAGGTGAAAAAGATTCAGGTTTTCTTTAGTAGTCAGTAGCATAAAGCGTGGGAAAACAAGTAATTGTAAAGTGAAACATTTTTATTGGTGAAAGAACATTCTGGCCATTCAGTTGAACCATCTTATAATGGAAATATGATATTAATAGTTTATAAACATTTTTACCTAACATACTTACTATAAGTATGTCAAAGAACCAATCAAAGTTTAAATAGACAGCTATCTCCTTACTGAGAAAACTTAATATATACAGTATTAATACACTACAGTACATTCTATGAAATACAAAATGCACTCAAGTACATCCACCAGGAATAGAAAAGAAAACCTTAAAGGATATGTATATGAAATTTAATATTTATCATTTAATAGTTGATTTAGCAGGAAGTTGGGGTTTATAAGGTATATGCTTTTTAAAAAAAACTGACACATAGTTAACCCCAGCCGCTATAGAATCTTTTAATATAAGATGGAATACTAAGAACAAAAATTAATTTAAATTTAATTATTAAAGTAATTTAATTTTGTTTTTCATTTGAAAAATAAGCTAATGTGTAAGGTTAGAAAAGAAGGTTGGAATGCAACTTAGAGCATGTTTATAATGTGCACAGAAAAAGTTTGAGAATGATAATTTTGATTTAAATGTGCTGGTTAGTTAATGTTATATGACTACTTTAAATTTTAAGGATTGTGACACACTCCTACTATTGAAAAACCTCAGTGTAACTTTAATATATTTGCTGCTGTAACATTTCAAAACATTTTCAGTTTATCAAAATGAATTACAGATTTCATTTTGGTGGGCGATACATTATCATTTTGCTAATAACCAAATTTGCAGTTTGTTCAGGGTCTTGAATAGATTTACAGATATTTAACACTGAAGCTGTTTTGATCTTTCAGTAATGTAAACTCTTTACTAATTGGGTAGTTAGAAGCTGGGCAGTGCATTTTAACTTTTACTAGACCAGTAATTTTTATATAGCAGTTTTAAAATGTGGTTCAGAGTATTCATGTTGAATTTATGGAGTATGCAGTTTTAGTGTAAAATGTTATAAAGCATGTGCCTCCATATAAAGGATGGGGGTTTGCTTTATATATTCAGAATTTTCCGAGTGCCCCCCTTTTCTCTGTTAAAATTCAGGTTCTGATCATTTTTCTAAGCCAGTTTTTCTATGTCCAAAAGTAATTCTTACAGCTGAAATTAAAAAATAAGTGCACCTTGTCAAATACTTGTGTTTCTACACTGGTGTTTGTATATATTTAATGATCACATATACATATAATAGGGAAAAGGTTTTCAGCTATTAAATTTAAAAACTGCTTACATGTAAAGAAATTAAAGAATGAGAAAATATACAACCAAGCTGTTATTTGATCTCTGAGATCTATATTGAACACTTTTCAGCTGTTAAAAGTTAATCTGCATACTAGGGTATGAATCGTCTTGCTCCCCCAATCCTCAAGAAAATATACATAATAGATTACAAAACAGCAGATGTCAGGGTCATCTTTCTTTTTGAAGAATTAAGCCATATTTTGTGAGGGCCAGAACTTGGATTATTTAATATATTTCCCCCTCCCTCCATTGAAAAACAAAGTTAATATTTCAAAACAATTTTATTGACCTCTTTATACAGAATTTTACTTGCAAAACTGGGGGCTCGAATGCATTACATAATATTTATATTGTATTGAGCTTTTTTATTCCTCACACTATATTTACATTAATAAATTGATTGAGAAGTTTATAGTAAAGGGAAACTTACAGAACACTTTTATATCATTTAAAAGATGACCTGACCAAAAACTTTACAGGATTCATAAATCAGGGATCATTTTGCTATTGACTTCACAGTGATCAGTAGTTTTATAGGTAATATTATAGTTAATTTGCAGCATTTTAGTACTTGTATTATTTATTTTTGGTCAGAAATAGTAAATTAAAAATATTTTTTGATAGTTTATAGGTAATGATCAATCCATAACTTTTAAAAGAAACAAAATGTTTCTATTATTGAGTTAACTTTTTGATTACACAGACTAGGAAAGGCAGGGAAATTTATGGGTTCCCCTTCTCCCCTTGGTTCTATTAAGATATTCTTTATGTTAAACCTTCAGAGTACTTTATAAACTTAGTTACCAGTTACTACTTCATTGAGAATTTTCTGAAAAATCCCATTTCAACAGACTTTTAATGAAGGTGAAAGCAACCCTTATGTGCTTTCTATTTATTTGAATGTTCAAGTATTTTATATTTAAAATAAAAAAGAAGGAAAAGAAAAACAGTGCCTCTGTTTTTAGAAAACTACTGCTCAGTAAAGTTGTTTAAGACCATTTCTGGTAGCTAATGACAATTTTATATTAAATTGTATACTAACCTTAGTGAGACTGATTTTTTTTTTTAGTTGTTTACAGTACAAATACTTGTATTTGTTTTTTAATTGCAGTATTTCTATTGTCGCAGTAATTTAGTAAAACTCTGTGGCTGCCTTGATTTTGACAGATTTTGTTAATATAAACTGATTGTTAGGCAATTAGTTATATTTATGCATAAATCAATTGCACTATAATTCATGAATTATTTATTACAATATTTTCTAATGAATTCATGTATCTGTCTTGTGTTGTAAATGTACTGTAATTCTGTTTCTACTTTGTGTTGTTAAATATCTAAATCTGATTGTATGAATTTAATTGTTCAGTTAACGTGTTTCTAGGTTGTAATTTGTAGTAAAGCACTTCAATGCTTTTGCACTTAAATTTACAACACTGTTGGTGTGTTCTTGATTTACTCATTCAGTAAAAGATAAAAAAGAAAAGTAAAGACAAAAACCTGACTACACTGACTTCTTTGATTACCTGTAGGAAGTTTTATTAAAATTAGTATTAGAAATTGTTTCTGAAGAAATATTTCAACAAACTTCTAATAGAAAAAAATAATAACATACAAAATATAGGGTGTTTGGGTTTATAAATGAAACAAAAGGATTAGTAAAAACTTAACATTTATACCAAACGTGGGATCTATAAAAAAATACAACTTTAGGATCTTTATGTAATCTCTTGAGAATTAGATTGAAGACATATGTATTCAGCTTACTTATTTATTAGGTTTTTCTTTGCAACTTTGGCAAGCAAGAAATAAGGGGGAAAAGACTTGAAGCCAAATAAGTATATTACAGAGTTCTGTAATTTGGGAACTTGGTTCTCTACCCTCATATATAAATAATCTAATATTTGAATACACAACTGGTGCCTTTATTAAGCTGTCCATTATATAACATTAGATAGGAGTTACTGGCCACTGTAAAATTCTTGAAACTCTGTCATTGAACATGATAAATGGAATAAGAAAGCTCTTTTAAAGTATAAATTTCCTTGGAATGTCAGAAAAGGGATATAAAAATCAATGCTTTTCATAATTTTATAAGTTTAATGAAGTGGACATTGTATATTTTTGGATTAACACAAGTTGTTTGGTTATTTCTGCTTTAATAGGACTCATTTACTTTTGGTGCTGGAGATTAAACTCAGGGCCTCGTACATGCCAAGTATGCACTTTACCACTGAGCTATAACCTCAGCCCCTGATTATTTCTACTATATACCTGACTTCATTAACAGAAAAATGCCTTTGAGCATTTTAGGAATTGTTATGAAAGGATATAAATGTTTAAAATACAGTGCAACATATTTTTCCAAGAAATATGTAAATTCTCATTAATTATTAGTTAACAAATATATTTAAGAGGCCATAACATCACTTTTAAATCTGCCTGTGTCTGTCTGATATTTTGGGGTTTCTTTGGCTTATGTAAAACTTTAATTTGCTGGAAAAGAGCATATCCTAATATTTGATAGCTATAATTTACTCTTGCCTTTGTTTACTTTTTTTTGGACTTTCTGATATGGAATTCTGGGAGTCAGTTCCATCATTTTATACTGCCCACCATTGCAAAATCTACAAAACAAATTATTTTCAGAAGGGAAAGTGTATTGAGATCATGTATTTCATCTCTCTAGAGGTGGCAGTGGCTTTAAAAAATTTTATTCTAATTTCACCACTCTTTTTACTTTGATAGCCTCTTAATGTCAAGTCACACACGATTTTTACTGAAATACTGGAAATGTAGTAAGTTGTCTTTTTTCGAGAACAGTTTTGGTAAGAGTTCAAAATTTGCTTTGGTATTTTTTCTGTCTAACACAGTTTTTATAAAATGTAAATGAAATATTGCACATTAGCTGTGAAATAGGTTATGACAGTTTTAGGAAGCAAAATAAAAATACTCTACTTTTCTTTTAAAGAAAGCTTCTTAGTTTTTAATAATACACAAGCATATTCTTCAGTTGCAGTTCATAATCAATATATCTCAATTCCAATCTTAAATAAAATTTCCACAAACCAGGAACTATTAACAAATGTAGCAAATCACAAATAAAGGGCTATTTTTATGTACAGAGTTTGGTGATATGTTTAATTAAAACAGATACTTTTCTGAAACAGAATTCTTTTAATATAGTTTTTATTCTTGCTGCTGGTATTGGATTAAAATTTTTCTGTAGACTTCTATATTGGTGGATACGCAATCCTGCATCTTAGGTGTACATTAGTTTCTGCAATGGGGCATTTTCCAGCATTTGAAATTTAATAATTAGGTAAGTAATGTCTGTAGTTTTCCTTTAATTACTTTAGTATTTAAAATCAATTAAAATAGATTTAATTTTTAAATAGCTTCCATTTTTAAATTTTCATAATAGGTGAAAATGCCTGCAGCTTAATCTCAGAAAAGATATTCTTTTATATGAAATGTAAATTCTTTAATTTTCCCTGTCACTACACAGAGCTCTCTTTATTAATAATTTCATTTTTACTATTTAAAAATATTTTAAATAAAGATTTTACTCCTATATCTTATTTCCTTATTTTCACTAACATGGACCGATAATTTTCAAAGTAACATATAATGTCTTACTTTACAAAAATGTTAACTTCTTCTGAAGCATTTTCCACTAAACATTCTTAATATGTCCAAAACACTAAATATTGTCAGTTTGTAAATATAATCAATCATCTGTCACTATTGCAGCTCTATAGGAGTACAGCAATATCAAACTATCTTGTGTTCAGCCTCTGTCAAAATTATAACCCCTTATCATGCTATTTTTGCTGTAATTCATTTTTTGTTTGATTTTATTTTTAGTTCAACTGTTGATGCAAAATCAGAGGAAGCTACTAAAATGGAAAAAGGAAAATCAGCATTAAGCAAAGTTTTGGAATCTTTGTGCATACATCACCAGCAACAAGTTTTGGCTATGTTGAAATTTCTAGTCCAAGAGCAGAATGCTACTTCTCTTTGCTGTTGTAATGCATCATGTGCTGTGTCTTCAGAATCTCAAAAGCCCCTATTTGAAGATGATATACATAGCCTATTCTGTAGTTATGAATATAGACTGGCAGAAAGAGGGTGTTTACAAAATGAAAGACAAAGTGCTGTTTTAGTGCCTCTGCCAGTCTGTATTAAAGAATTACTTTGTTTATCTTGCCGTTCTGTAACTGTTGAACACATTAAGACAGTAATGAATAGAGGAATTGCAAACTCCTACAATTCTCATAGGTGCTATTCTCAACTGTTACCAAACATTGACTCTACGAAATCACCCTTTCATAGTCCACTTTTGTCAAGAGAAGTATGTGATCTTTCAGTCAGTCTTAAAGATGTTTGCAGATCTCGAAGTCCCTCACCCCCACCGTTATCACCTGTAGAGAATGAAGGATTTGAAAAATTGAAAGACGTCATCTCAGAGTTTTCAGCCTTAGAAAATAACACATTTGAAACAAACACTAACCACCCTCCATCTCTAACACCAGCAGAAATAAGCAGCAGCAACAACAGTGATCAAGAAGGCAAAATACATAAAACTGAAAAATCCAGCAACTCTGATTCTTTGCTTTCAGATGCCAGTAATAATTGTACTACAAATCATGAAAAAGGTGAAACTACTGTGATTTTTCAAGATTTAATGGATCGTATTAATGAAAAATTAAAATCAATAGAAACCACAGATGTGACAAATGTTGTAAAACTATCTAGCAATGAATATAGTACAGCTAATGATTTTAAATTGGGAGATTTAATAACATCTCTCTTGCATAATGCAAAGGCCAGTGATTATAGTTTTATGGAATTACTGAGTCAACATGATAAAAAAATAGAAAATAAAATTGTTCAGACACGATTTCGAAGGCGTCAACAAACTTTATTTGCACTGCACAACTCTCCTGACTCACCCATGATTAGAAGGCAGTCCTTACAGATAAAAAGAGAACTAGCTAGATTTGACGAAAATTTTATGAGAAAAAAATACTCTGAAAAAAATTCAAGGAAATTGGTGTGCAATGATACAATATTGTCATCAGACAAGGAAGAATTCCATCATTGTCAAGGGCCTTCTTTACAAGATTCTAAAAGCTTTCAAGATAAAAATCATGCAGAAACATCATTTTTACCAAATTATGCATTACAGTCATTGCAACTACCTTATAATAGTTTAGAAACTAACTTGGCTTTTAATGAATTTTCAGAAAACCTTGAAACAACTTCACCTGAGAAAATTAATATCAAATCACAAGAAAAGTCTGCAGCTGGAATAAAAAAACTGGAAGATAATAGGTACAATCCAAAATTAGAGAAAATTCAAACTCCCTTGAGAAATAACGTTCCTGAACTTTTGAGCAGAACTAAACGAAATATTGTACCCCCAGGATGGTATTCTATATATGTGACAAATAATTGTTCTTTTAAAAAATCACCTAAGGCCAAAAGAGTATCTGAATCCACACAAAATAAAGATCCAGTGAAAAATGTTCACATTGAAAGCTCACAAAATATAGACCTAAACAAAATTGCAATGAATTCTAATTTACAGGTTACTGTGGAGCGTTTGGAAGATACAATAAATAAGACCAAAAAGTCTTGGAATAATCAGCCATTATCAGAAGGATATAAAGCACCCAATAAGTTAATAGAAATTGATGGTAAAGATGAAAATGCTGGGAGAAATATGAGTCTTACGTTGAATAGAATAAGTAAAGAGCAAGGTTTATCAAAATGTCAGACCACATCGAGCAATATTAGCAAGTGTCATTTGGTGCCTACTGTGGATTCAAATAACAAAAGGCTTGATAATTCAGAAAGGTCATCCATTTTAGAGACAGGTTGCTTGACTGCCAGTGTTGAAAGTGTACCAACAAAATGTGAAGATATTGAAAGCTCTTTTTCTAACTATGCAAGTCCTATCAAACTCATGTTTTTATCTGAGATTAAAAGCAATGAAGGAATCAAATACACTTTAACTTCAATTGGTACTTCCCAATCAAATGTTGATCATCCTTCTGAAAAACGTGCAACCCTTCATGTAACTGGAAAAAAAAGAGAAACAAATGAGGATATCTCAAATGCTAACTCTGAAAATTACATTTCTAATCATGATACCGACACATTTCTTAGAGAACTGACAAAATTTAACTGTGCAAAAGAAACTGTAGAATCCTCCACATTGTTTTCAGATGATTTGAATAGTGATAAACCACAAGAACCTCTGGAAAATTCAAGCAGTGCTGTTGATTCATCTTTTAAAAGAAAACCAGGTAGACCTAAAAAAATAGGCCCTCAAGTTGTGAAACAGATTAAACGACCAATTGGAAGACCACCGAAACCTAAAATTGATCAAGTGGACATCTCCATTTGCCAAAATGAATCCTTTTGTGCTGGAAAGAAAAACCCAGAATCTCTCATATCAGAAGCAAAAGGTATTTATAAAAAAACTATTACAGTAACTGTTATTTATGGAAGGTCAAGAAGAACTAAAAGGCATGTATCTGAAGGAAGTGTAAACAGTAGCAATATTATGTCATTAAACAATAATGTTGCTGATTTTTCAGCTGACTACAGTGGTCTTGGAAGCCTTACAGAATATGAAATTGACTCAGGTCAAAGGGCTGGGTCTAGCTTGACTACTGAAAGAGAGAACTTGCGATCTAGCTTTGACTATGTTAGACCAGTCAGGAACAAGTCTGTGATACTTCAGCCTTCCAAGAACATTGCTCAACCAAATCAGAAACCTTCAACAATTATTAGGAAGCCTGGTAGACCTGCAAAAGTGAAAATATCTGGCATATCTGTGACTATTAATAGAATTTCTCCTCAGGAAAGAGAAGTAAGTATTAGCAGCTGCTTACCTCCTTTAGAACAAGAGAATACGTTAGAAAAAACTCTCCCTGAAGAAAAATATGATCAACAGTGCAATAAGGTGGATAAAACAAGGCACACTGATGCTGACATTTTAAAAAATGGATCAAAAAGTGTGGTTGCTCCTGTACCTTTGAGACATTCTATTAGGGACAGAAAGCGATCTCTGCACTTCTTACATTCATTAGCAACTTCTAGTTCACTTATTTATAAAAATTCTCTGCTTCATAGATCATATAAACTCCATTTAAGAAAAAGCAAAAGCCTAAAGAAAAAATATAGGCAGTCAAGGATAAAAATAGCTTCCAAAGATACCCCAGGAGCTAGACATCCAAGGAATGCAAACAAGTATTTGGAAGATAACAAATTAATACCAATTTCTGAAGTGTCTTTAGATCCTATAATATCATCAAATCCTTTGCTCAGGTGGTGGGCTACTTCTGCTTCAAATGATTCTTTATTAGAGGAATTAAACAATAGATTTGAGCAAATAACAAATGCTTGGGTGCAAGTGAGTGGAGATGAAGCTGAAAGTTTTGATCATAAAAAAAGAGAATACATTGAAAATGATAATTTCAAATTAGAAAATCCTTTGGAAACTTGTCTTTTAGAACTTGAAGTTTCACCTGTAAAAATGCTTTTTCAGAAAAAGTATGATTTGAATGAACTTTGTACCTGGTTTATGCAAACAACAGAAACACAGTCTCTCTCACTAGTTAGAAAAGCAAATGCTCGAAACCCTTTGGAAGTAGTAAATACCAAGGGAATTAAGTTGGGAGCCAAATATTGTGATTTTAGTACTAGCCCCTTCAAGAAGCACTTTAAAAAATTTGCACTCTCTTCTCCTTCGAAATCAGCAGGGAAATTGCATGTACTTCATAAAATGGTTAACTCTCCCCTCTTAAATGTGAAAAGTAATTTAACGCTAGCTAGGTTGAAAAGGACTGAGTTTAAGAGGTTGCACCATGAAAGGTGGAGAAGAGAGAGAAAACTGCACAGCCATGGAACAGTTGATTGGAACTCCAAAAGGAGGGACTTAAGATGTTTTTACCAGAACCAATTTTTAAATAAGACTGAGGAGGGAATAAATGCTGACATTCCACTCCATGGAAAAGGCACAGTAGGTAACCATTGTACTTTCCCACCTGAGATCAAGGGTGACTTTTTTCAAGACAGGGTGGCAATGCCTGACTTCAAAATGCATAATAATGTAGAGAATAAAGTTAAGTCAAAAGTGAAGGAGTATGGAATAAATTGTAGCCAAAAAGATTTTGAAAAGGGATCAAAACTAGGAAATGTATGTCCAAATAATTGGAGGTCAAAATCTTTAAAAGACTGTAGAATATTTTTGAGGAAGATTAACTATCTTGAACATAGAAATACTTTTAAGCTAAATACAATCATTTACTCTCCTGAATCTGTTAACAGTGAAAGTAACCATCATACACATATAGAAGGATCAAAGCACTTTACTTTAAGATCTCATTCTGCTAGGCAAAGTTCTTTTAAAAAGCAAACTAAAGAAATAGAAAATAGTACAGCAAATAATGCTTTAACCAATAAATTTGCCGATCAACATAGCAGTAATAAGTTAAGCAAATGTATAAACTTTGACAAGAATCCTTCTGATAGTTCTGAAGTTCTTAGCAAATTGAACAAAAGAAAAAGACCACCATGGAAGACCACAGAAATGTCAACAAAAAGACATAAACGGCAGTCTTGCAACAGTGGACAAATGGCACACTATTTTTCAAAATCCCAACTAGGTAAGTTTTTCTCTAATTAATTTTAAAGTTTCATTGTAGGTGCCTTGAGTAAAGAATGAGATAACAGGTAGAAAAGAAACAGCTGGTTCCTTTTAAATTTATTTCTAAAATATTTGTACAACCTAATTTCTTGGCACCTAGTATGAAACTCAGGAAATTAGGTATTGCTAAATGTACCAATGCACTTCTTCCTTCACCATAATGTGTCTGATATTTCAAGCACATAAAAATATGTTCAGTAGAGACAAAGTTTTTTAAAAATATATCAATATGCCATATTACCTACTTTTGCATTAATAGATCTAATATAAAATCAGAAGATAGTTTGATAAATATGACCATGTAACTAAAAATTAACTACATGTTAATATATATTTATTCTCTTAATAACTATGAGGCCATGTGGGAAAGAGTAAATACTTTCTCATTGATAATGACCATAACATACTACAATCCTAGGATATCAGTCTCCTATCCACCATCATGTTGTTAATGCCATTTGACACTGTACTGGTTTGAAACCTACTTTTAAGATCTTGCTTATTTGAGGACCAGGAATTTAGCTCATTGGCGCTGCACCTGCCTCACAAGCACAAGGTCCTGAGTTTGATCCCCGGTACCAAAAAAAAAAAAAAAAGATCTTGCTTATTTGAAAAGTGGTGTAATGATATTTTTTCCAATAAATCAGCAAATTTGAGGGTTTTTTTCATATCAGACATTGAGCTCATTTCCACAGATAGGAAGATGAGAATTCTTTTCCATAGCCTCACAAGACAAAGAATCATTGGAAGAGCATTGCTAAATTAAGAATGCAAACCGAAATTACTTTTAACAAGTACTTATGTGCTTTATTCAGTTACACTGATGTGACATTGGTGCAAAGAAACTATTACTATTTGGAACCTAGCAAAAATATGACACAAACGCAATAGGTGCCGATACAGCCATTTCCATCTCTGCTGTACAGTAGGTGCTACACAATGCAGGATATTTAGGGATTGTGAGAGTGCTTACTGATTACTTCCTTCTCATGAAAGAGTGCCAGGTTGCATTTGGAAACTTAAGGATATTTTACCATATGGCTACATTGTTTTATTGTACACCTTAAGGATGTCTTTTGGGGCTTGGGAAGTAGTAATGGGTTTATTTTTTGTTACCTTTATAAAAACAAAGTAGAAGCTAAAATAGTATCACTTTCTCATATTAAAAGCAGTAATTAAATTCTAGAGCTTTTATTGGTTAATGATTTTTATGGCCCCTAAAACTCAATTGCTTTAACTGAATAACTTTAAAATACCTATTTCAGTCATAACTAGCATGTAATGATTAAAATTTCAAATATCTAACACACAAAGATTAAAATTTTAAAGACGGTCAGAGTAGAATCTTTATTATGAAATAAATCAAACCTAAAAAGTATTATCTTTGTTTCTTATCCTCAATATAACTCAACATAACAAACACTATATCAGGAAAAGAAGGTAGATTTTTTTTTAATTTATAATTTACCATTAAAATATACATATGTTTTTTGAAGAGTAAAGTTTCATTTAATAACTTATGTCATGCTCATTTCGTGTACTTACAGTTTATCAAAGAAAATTTGTGTTAATTCATTGTGCAACAGAACCGTATTTTATCCTTCCAGCTTCTTAACCATTGTATTTTCCTAAGAAAACTTATTTTAAACATAAAACTTATTTTAGTGATTCTTCGCCTCACTAAATACAAGACCATCCTAGGAAACTTAGAAGGTGAATGTCTAATTATTGCTTCTTCAAATTAATTTCAAAATCCTTTTTGGATATTTAAAGAAATTTTAGCATCATATGAAGAATGTTTTTTATCTTTGTCATTTTAAAAATTACTAGTGCTATTTCCTGTTCTGCTTAAAATTTTATCTTTTACTGATAACTTTCCTTCTTTATTTTTAACATTGTTTTTTATCAACAAGGTCATTATTTTTATAAAGTTGTTTTATAGCAACATTTGTTAAATTTATCTCTTTTTTAAGTGTTTTCTTACGGTGTTATTTTTTTTCCATTATTCTTAGTATTCCATACTTCTTTTTGCCCTTTTGAAATGACACTAAAATTCATTATTAGTTTCATATGTGTTTTCCTTCATAGAATAATTAGGTCTGAAGACTTAAGAGCTTTTTAATAGTAATTTTCCAGAAAAAAATGCCTACCATAATGTATTTAATGAATTTTGAAATATTTCTCTTGGTTAAACGTTTTGTTTCTACTGTGAATGTTTTGTTTTGTATATTTGATTCTACAATGTACATTTATATACATGGATATAGTTTTAAATATTTTTAATTTTATATTTAATTAAATTTGTATTGCTCTATATCAAGTGTAAATGTGAAAAGGAAGAAAAATGCAATTCTGTCCTATTGTTAATTCAACAAATATTTAATGAATACCTACAGTGGTCATTGTGGACGATTCATGAAGTTCCCTTTCCATCTAAGTGAGAAAACAAGACCTATAACATTTATTCAATAAATAGAATATATTTCATGTCTTAAACAGGATATTATATGCTGTAAGGGAATAGAATGGCTGAAGTTGTGGTTTTTATCCTTATAGAGCTTACCATCTTATGATGGATAGAAAAATGAATAGGCAGGGGCCGGGGATTTAGCTCAGTGGTTTCGCCACCTGCTGCGCAAGCTCAAGGACCCGAGTTTGATCCCCGGTACCAAAAAAAAAAAGAAAAAGAAAAAGAAAAATGAATAGGCAATCCAATATAAGAATGAGTGCTAAGACAAGAGAGAGCTGAATTGTAGGATACATAGGAGGGAAAACGAATTAAAATCTAGAGAATTAGGCCATATTTCCTACATTGTTACAAATAAGCTGAAAGTCAAAGGATGCTCAGATATTAGAACCTGGCAAAGGAGAGTTTCAGGCAGAGCAAACTGCAAGGAGAAATTGTGGGTGATAAGAGAGTAAACTTACTTGAAGCACTGAATAGTTTATAAGAGCTGAGATATAAAATAGGAATCATGGATTAACAGGTTTGGTGGTGGGAAAGTGGTAAAAGATAAAGCTACTGAGGGAAGAATGACCCAAATTATGATGTCAACATCTGTTGATGAAGAAAAGTTTTAAGCCCTAGTTGTAGGAGTAACACAAAAGAATACAAGAGATCTGTGAAGTAAAATCAGTAACTTAGAGGGTCAAAAAGTGAATGATAACATCCAGGTTTTTGCCTTGAATGTCTGGGGAGATCAACATTCACTGAGATATAAGAGAACTCTCTGAGGGAGTTCAATTTTAGTCAGGGATTGGAGCTATCTAGGATATGTAAAAAAGACATTAAGCAGTTAGGTAATTTGGGTCTCTTGCTAAGGAAAGAGCCTTGAGCTGAGAAGGAGATTGACAAGTTAGCAAATAATTGAAGTCACAAGAGTGGGAGATTTTATTTAGTGTAAGACTGAAAAATCTGAGGATCTCAAAGCCCCAAAGATACAAGGAAAAGAAAAGGTGAGCACAGAAGGAAACTCCTATGAGTAGTCAAGAGGTCAAAGAGGAAACCTTGTGAGTGGAGTGCAGGGAAATATTTCAAGAAAGGAGTATAGGACTAAGGGTATAGCTCAGTAGTAGAGCACTTGCATAGTAACACACACAAAGCCCTGGGCTCCATGCCCAGCACTGGAAAAAAAAAAAAAGTAAATTGTTGTTAAGAAGCTAATAAAAATAAGCTCTGAAATGGTTCCATTGGTTACAAAAACAAGAAGTTATCTTAGTAATTTGAGAGAGAGCAACTTTGGTGGACTAAAAGAGCCAAAACCTAATTCAGTAATAGATGAGTAATAGAAAAAGAGGAAATGAAAACAGCACAAAAAACTATAAATGGCTAAAAATGAAGAGGAGATAGAAAAGTAGCTAAGAGTATGTTGAAGTTGAAGGTAGTTTTACAAAAATATTCAGATGTCAGTGGGAAGCAGCCACTGAAGAATAAAAAGTTGAATGTACAAAACCGAGATGGCAAGCAGTAGAAATGGAATGAAGACCCTGAGTTTATTCCTGGGTTTAGGATCTGAAGCATTGTTAAGAGATTGGTCTTGGCCAGAAGATTCATTTTTCTCATAAAATGAGCATAATGCTAACAGTAAATGGTGATGCAAATCAGTAATTAATGGGCAGAAAATTTAGATATTAGGGCTCATTTTCTGTGATTTACGAGGCTACCTTAGAGCAGTATGTTAGGATGGGGTGCTCGGGAATTTGTATTAAGAGTAAGTGATTTTATCTCAGTTGCCAGGATGTAAACTATTGGGTTTAATAGTAGTTGTGTTCACCACGTGGTTACAAAAAGACATAGAGATCACAACAAGAATGTATCTTTCATTTTATGAATAGTGAGAAGCTATATGATCAGAGTTGAGTTTTAAATAATCTTTTCTTATAATACAGATTTGGAAATGGGGTGTGTAAAGGACCAGTTGCAGAATTGAAATGATATTGGCCTAAAATGGAGTGTGATTATTGAAAATAATAATACAAACTTTCAAATACTGCATCAGTACCTTTTGAGTTCTCAAAGCAGTTACGTGCCTTTTCCTGATTGGTAAATATCTGGATGTAAATAAACCAATCTGAACACTATCAGGAAATTTTTTTTAAGACTAATCTAATATAGGCTTGAAGCTACTATAGACTAATAGTACTTATCCTAAAAATATTAAATTTTCTCATAAATGCACAAAATTCTGTTAATACTTCAGATTGGATTCTGAGATGTCTTTTAAAAATATTCAGTATGTCAGCTTCTTCTGTTTTGTATTCTGTCCTCAAAAATGACTGAATATATATTTTTTTCACTCAGAATTCTGGTTTTCACACAGGTTTATAATGGTGGGTGATTGTTAATAATATACTTCTTGAACTACCTGAAACCAAGACTGACCATATATCCTCCTGCATTCCTGCCTATGAACATTTTACCACATTTTCTGAACATTGAACACAAGATGTTCTTTTAAA